AAAAATAAAAATAAAATAATAGCTTGCTTCCCAAATGGCTTTGGAGATTCACTCAAGAGAAGGAGGCCTTATGAAAAAGGATGATTAGTACTTGGTAGTATCTATGGTGATAGTCCGAATAGGTGGTTCACTCTTATCCCTAAAGGTAAAGCAAAGGGGAGACCTTGGTTCGACATCACGAAAAACAATGAATTTTTCTTCCGAATCTTAACTTCAAAGTGCAAAATGGGGGGAAATGAGATTTTGGACTAATGAATGGATAGAGGATAATACTCTTCGAGCATATTTCTCGAACATTTACAACATCTCTTTGAAAAAAGAATCATCTATTTCTGATTGTCAGCATAAGAACTCAAGAGAATGAACCATCATGGGTGCCTCATTAGTCCAGAGGGCCTATGATTAATTGAGAGGGAATGAGTTCAAACCTCATAATAGTCACCTACCTTAGGAATTAATTCCTATGTGTTTCCCGACAATAAATGTTGTAGGGTCAGGCGGGTGTCCTGTGAGATTAGTTGAGGTACACACAAACTGGTTTGGATACTCAAGAATATTTAAAAAAAAAATCAAGAAATTGGGATTTAGGCATTCGCAGAGGTCTCTTTGATAGCGAAATGGAAAGTAGGGTGGGACTCATTCAATTATTGGAGGTGGTAAGACTTGGAGAAGGTGATGACAAGGTTTATTGGCTTTAGGAAAAGAAGGAGCTTCTCCACAAAATTTGCTTTCTTAAAGCTCTCAAAGGCTCCCCCTTCATTGAAGACCTCTCTTATTGCTCCAATCTGGAATTTTAGAATTCCTAATAAAATCAACGTCTTTGGCACAGAAGCTAAATACCCAAGAGGGTTTCAAAAGAAGTGCAGCTTACTATTTCCCCCTCTATTTGTAGTTTGTGCAATAGCGATGGTGAATCCATAGACCACTTATTCATCTATTGCCCTTTTGCAACCCAAGGTTGGTACTTTCTGCAGGATATTTTTGACATTTCGACTTGTGTTCCTAAACATATCGATAATTGGTTATCTGAAATTTTGATGGGCTGGTTTTTTACCTAGAAAGGCTAAATTCCTTTGGAATTATGCGGTTAGAGCTCTTCTTTAGCACATTTGGCTAGAAAGGAATCGGCTTACGTTTTAAGATAAGGTTTACACTTTTAACCCTTGTTGTAGGAATGTGCAGCACACAGCTTCTTGGTGGCGCCTTACAAATACGAAATTCTTTTGTAATTATAGCTTCTCCATGGTTATTTTGGTGGCGCTTCTCAATGAAAGTTTTGTTTCACATAAAAAAAAAAACTTCTCCATGGTTGTGAACAACTGGAAAGCTTTCTTTTAGTATTTTTGGGTGGGGACTCTCTCTACCCCAGTCCATAGGCTGTTTCAACTCTTCTTTGTTTATAATACATATGTCTCAGGTTTCTTTTAAGGGAAAAAAAAGAATAGAGACAAAAAATTAAAAGAAACGAAAGACTTATTGAGAATAAAATAAAAGAAATCATCTGAAAGGAAGAAGCATAATAAATAAGTTTTTTATTTGGAAGATACAAAATTTTCATTAATTAATGAAAGAGAACAATACAAACTCCAAAAGAAGTGAAATAGAGACAAGATAAAGAATGTAAAAATACAAAAAATAAACCATGGCTATCAAAACCCAATGAAAAAATTACTAGTAATAGACAAGATGAGAGTCCTATATGAGAAAAGAAGAAAACCCATGTGAAGAATGAGTAAATCAGGAAGCAGTAGCAACCGATTTGGAGAAGAAGCAAATTCAAGGAGATGAGAGAGGATTTCATTTAAAAATAAAAAAATAAAAAAGATGAGAGGGAATTCCATAAGAACGTGAAAGATAGAAGATCTGAGGAAAAGAAGAGAGATGCTGTCATTTCTAGAAACACAGAAGATAACTTTTAGTCACTTTCCAAAACATTTCCTACTATTAAAATTAGTTCTAGAATTTGTTTCTGAAAATCAAACCACTAACCGCCCTTGCTTAGTTTCTCGTATTTTCATTGCTTTGTAAATCAAGACGTACTACAAAACTTGCTGGAATTTCTTACAAGTTTCCTGACCATTAATTCAATCGTGCAAAGTTGTAATTTTAAACTTAGTGAGTGTAGGTTGGAGGAATTCTATTTATAGAAGACGAAGTAAAATGATGCGATACTCTGCAGATGGAAAACTTTGGTTGAATATTAGCGTTAAATATATATATATATATACACATACATACATATATATATTTATTATTTATTTATTTATAATTGTTGAATTACAGCTTTTATTAGTGCTGGTAGATATGTGATTTATTGACCCCCACTTTCCAACCAGCTTCTTCTGAAGCGGTGAAGTGGCTCACTTCCTTCCACTAACAACATGCTTAGATCTAGAAGGCACTTAGCTCATGCTAAAACTGATTGTTGAACCTGAATCATGTTGTACTGGCTCTCTGCTGGCTTGAACTGGTGCAAAAATTGTGAAAAAGGATGGCTCTAATTTTTTGCAATGAAATCTATTTGTTACGCTTGGCTTCTGAGAACAAAATTTTCCGTGGGATTAAACTTTTTTGGTTATTCATAGACTATTCTCGAATGAGCTGTTATGATTACCTTCCAATTCTTTCCTCTGTACCAGCGGAAGAGATGGGGTGGATGTTGGGGTGCATTATCCTGCTTTCACTCTCAGAAAGGTGGAAAGCGCATTGTACCTGCATCTCGTTTACCTGAGGGCAATGCTGTGACAACCCAGCCAAATGGACCTCAAGCAGCTGGAATGACCAACCAGGCTACAGTTATAGCTCCATCCCTTCTTGCCCCACCTTCTTCACCAGCATCCTTTACAAATTCTGCACTCCCTTCAACCGTTCAGTCACCTAGCTGTTTCTTGTCCTTATCTGCCAACTCACCTGGAGGTCCTTCATCGACAATGTTTGCTACAGGGCCGTATGCCCATGAACCACAACTGGTCTCTCCTCCTGTTTTCTCAGCCTTCACCACTGAACCATCAACCGCTCCACTCACTCCCCCACCCGAACTAGCTCACCTAACTACGCCTTCTTCCCCTGATGTGCCTTTTGCTCAGTTCCTCTCCTCATCAGTGGATCTCAAAGGAACTGGAAAGACAAATTACATTGCTTCAAATGATCTTCAAGCAGCATATTCTCTCTATCCTGGAAGTCCAGCCAGTAGCCTCGTATCACCAATTTCAAGGACATCCGGCGACTGCCTATCATCTTCATTTCCTGAGAGGGACTTCCCCCCACAGTGGAATCCTTCATCTTCTCCCCAAGATGGAAAATATCCAAGAAGTGGTTCTGGTCGGCTATTTGGACACGAGAAAACAGGAACATCTTTGGCATCTCAAGATTCCAATTTCTTCTGCCCTGCTACATTTGCACAATTCTATCTGGACAATCCACCATTCCCTCATACCGGTGGGAGGTTGAGTGTATCAAAGGATTCAGATGTTTACTCTTCTGGAGGGAACGGTTATCAAAACCGGCACAGCAAGTCTCCAAAACAAGATGTGGAGGAAATAGAAGCTTACCGAGCATCATTTGGTTTCAGTGCAGATGAAATTATAACTACTACACAATATGTGGAGATATCTGATGTAATGGAGGATTCCTTTACTATGAGACCTTTTACTTCAACTAGTCTGTCGGCAGAAGAAAGTATTGAACCTCCATTGCTAGGTGAAAAACTAAAATCCACAAAGACAACTATACAGAGTCAGAGAAGTATGAAGCCAGCATCTGATGTTGTCGAAAAGGAAACCTGCGCTGAAGTGCTGCCATTATGCAATGGCTGTGAAGGTGAGCTCCTGTAACCTGATACAAGCACATACTTGTTCTGTAAAATGAGAAATCAAAAGAAAATAAAGGCATAAAAATGTTCTGAGGAAATGTGTTTAAAAAGTCAAATAATTAGGATGTTATACTTTCTTTTGGTGGGGGGTAGAATTGTGGAGGCTGATGAATATTAGCACTAGTTTTCTTCCACCCGTAAGGATAATTTAAAGTGCGGACCCACAATTCTGATACTATAAAATAGTTAGATTATTCATTGCATGCCTTTGGTTACAATCATCACCTGTTTGATGCAGACAATAAATTGCAAAGACAACCTGGTAACATGTCAGGATCAAGTTCCTCTTTCAACCAAGTTGAAACAGAAGATGTATTCTCAAGGATAGTGCCACCCAAAAATAGTCGCAAGTATAATCTTGGATTATCCTGCTCTGATGCAGAAGTTGACTACAGAAGAGGAAGGAGCCTAAGGGAGGTCAAGGGAGATTTTTCATGGCACGACTAAGAGAGCCATCTCAAAAATAGTTTTCAGTTTGTTTGTGTATCTGTTTTCTGCTTTGCAGGTTTCCATGGAATGTCTAACCTATGATCTAACCTGTTGTCTCTCTCAGTTATGACTTGGTCACTGGACGGATGAACAATTATAATTTGTGTTCCTAATCGTGCAAATTTAGATATGGAATGGGTCGAATTTCTGTACTTGATAGATGAAGTTGACTTTTTTCAGTGAATTGTATACTAGCACCGTACAATCTGCTTGCCCATTGTGTACACCCATCGTCACTATGCTTTATTCCATCTAAACTGCTGTTCGTCTGACCTTTTTCTTCGAGGGAGATAAACAAGTGATTTATTCCTGGTGGTCATTGATTGAACTTTCGTAGGAAACCAAGATTGTTAAAATATTAAGAAACGTTTGTAGTAGGGTTACCCATCTCATGAAATTAGTTGAGGTGCATGTAAATTGATTTGGATACTCCCAGATATCAAGATATGTTACAAGATTAGGAATTGGTTGGACACAGGACAAATTTTGTGGAGCGAGCTCAGCAACTCTGATGGTGTTGTTTGTCCTGTTAACCGTATGGTGGAAAATAGAAATTGAAATGAGTGTTAGGTCTTATCCTTCATTGGTAAATATCCTAGATTCGACATTCATGTAATATAATAATATACTAAAGGTAAAATCTCTAGTTTGACCGATAAATACTTTGATTCGATGTTTGAGCTTGGTACAGACATGGATTTACTTTTAAAATGTACCAATCATAGAATTATTTGGTATAATGCAGTGGCGGCCCTTGGCTCTTCGGAGATATCTCATCTTCTTCAGTACATCCTCTTTAAGATTAATTCAAAATATCATTTTTTATTAACAAAAAAATTTTCAACAAGGATCGAGATGGCGAAATATCTCCAGTAGATTTGTAGAATTGTACTAGGATTACGGGAGGAGAATTTCTAGGAACTCGAATAACGTTATTAAATTGCTAAAGAAATTGCTTCTTTAAACATGTCCATCCTTTGACAAAATGGTTAACCTCGGGCTCTCTAACGTTGTTCAATGTCTCAGACGTGGTTTCTTTTAGTTGAAATGACACTTCATCATTTGTTAAAAAGAGAAAAAAAAAAAGAATCATGCTCTTTCAACTAGTTCATGGTTTCTATTCTTATAATGAGTCATTTCAAACACCATATAATCTAAGTTATGAGATGCTTAAAAATAAATAGTTAAAAATTGATCGTTCATTAAAAGGTTAATTAGGTAGAAGTTCAAAAATCAGTGAAAATGAATCAACCTGAACATAGTTCTACTGGTCGAAGTATCTATCTCCAATAAAAAAGTTCTGAATTCAAATTCATACACACATATGTTGATTTAAATTTGGTATTTTATAATTACAAACCTGGAAAAAAAACCATTAGACTCATATTTAATCTAAAAACAACTGTAGGAAAGAGATTGAAAGTGAGTACTCTTAGCTCGGTCACTCTTGAGAGATTGCGTTAGATATAACTATTTACACGACTTCATAGAAGGAAGAGTGCACTTACCCAAAAGAGTGAAGAGCATGGGTAAGAATTCGAAGATATGCCTTCATTATGAAGAGTTTACAACGATGTATGTTTGCAATGTATGCTTTCTAGAAAATGGTGTTCTATTTGTTTTTATTTATTTTTTTTTTATTTTTTGAGAATGCTGGTAGAAAATGGAGTTAAACGAATTTTTGTAGGACCTGTGGTTAAGTGTCAAGATTTTGTATTTTTATATCTTTCGGTTTTAAAAAATGCAGCATCCTTGAATAAATCCATTTTAAAAGACTAGTTAAAACAGTTTTATGTTTTCCATTGATAATCTAGCATTTTAACATTTTTTGTAAAAGTTAAAACCGAATAGAGGAGATACCCACTCTTCCTAAATTTATGAGATTTTTTTTTTAAATACTCAACCTTAGCTATTAGACATCTCCGGGATTTTTATTTCAACGTATTTTTCATAATTTGTGGGTATTACACTGGTTATTGAAATACCTTGTTTATTTTTCACATTGTTTCTAGTACTTCAAAATTTTAATTTTGAAGGAAGATCCAACATGAACAAAGGATCCAACCATCTTAAGAAGTTACATAAGAAAATTAGTAAAAGGACAAGGAAAAGTTGGTAATAGAGAAACAAACTTGCAAAGCAAAAAAATGAACATATAAAAAAATCAATATATAGTTGTATCTAAACCAATATACGAAGCAAATAGGCAATAGATATGTTGTATCAAAATCAATATATGGAAAGAAATAGGATAAATAAAAAGTGAAATATATGGTCATGTATTAAAGAGAATTAAGATCGATTGATCGATTAATTACATTGAAGTTATATTATAATAGCTAATAAATATGATGTGTAAAAATGAAGGAAAGAAAAATTAGTGCACCAAACCAATGAAATAAAAAAAAACGAAGGTATGTAATAAATTAAAAATTCAAAATAACAATTTAAGTGAATAAGGAAAGTTGAGAATTAAACCCCCGAAGTCAAGTCCATATAGTCAACATGCCGATCCTGTAATTCAATGTGGACATGCCCCCCAATATGGAATAGGGGAAGTTGAGAACTAAACCCCCAAAGTCAAGTCCACACATAAAACGTGACCATTGTCACACTCGCAGTGATATTAAAAGAATAGGCTGTTTTAATTCAATTGCGCCAGAAAAAGACGACAATCCGTCGATCCCTCCAATTTTTACTTTTGAGCATGTTTCCAATCCAATTTATTTCCATTTTCGCATTCGCTTTCATCTTTCTACATCAAAAATTTTCTTGTAGAACTGGTATAGTACGAAAGGAGTATATTATAGAACCTGAGTGATAAGGTATACAGAGATTTGACATGGTCCAAGTCAGTCCAGGTCTGCCGAGATGGTAAGCGAGACATAGTTTATTATTGACATTGATACAACCATGGGAAATGGAGGGGTGGACAGAAGCTCCAACTCTTAGCATATTCCTAAATTCCATTCAGGGTGACCACAACATTGCGTGCAGTGGGGTGGTCTCGGTGCTCACAAAGCCATATTCCCTGAAGCATCCAAAGCCCAATCAAAATTAGCCTTTAAATTTAAATTAACAATTTCATCTGTCGTAGAATGTAGCCTTCCATTTACAAATCCATTCGTCACGCTAAACCAAGCATAGAGACCCCCCCATCCGAACTCCCAATCTATTCATCAACCCTTCCCCATCTCATCTCTCTAGTTCTAGTAAATGCAACAAAATTTGATATAGTCAACTTCCGATCCTTAAAACCTGCAATGCGGCATCCTGATCCCTTAGGCATTACCTCAAATTCAATCAAATTAAAAGAATCATATAAACTTAAGGACCAGAAATATGCAAAAACAAATGTATTACAACCAATTCAAATGGTTACAATAATGAAAAGTAAAATCAAATTAAACAACACTACTAATTTTCTGGCTCAACATAAGTCCTTATCATGATTAACATAAGCACGAAAGAAAAAGAGTTCATCATAAGGCTGGTGTAGTTGATGGAGTGGTTAGGCTGCTAATTACAGAATTCTGTTAGTTAGTCACCTACATACTTTTGCTTGCTAACTTGCACATTGAAAGAAGTGGAGGAAGTGGAGATAAGCAGGAACACTAGGGTAAAGGAAAGTCCCGGTCCAACCCTCATGAATAAGGGAAAGCTTCCTAATATTCCTCAGTAATAATAGAAATGCTATCGATTCTTCAAGTTTGAACATTTTTGTACCCGACATATGATGGACAAATCACTCCTCCGATCCATTTTACTTATCAAAGGGAAGGGTACGGGGGAGTTACTAGGATATATGTATTATATGGGTAGTTACAAGAGAGTTAGAAGGAAGTTATTGGATAGTTATAATAGTAAATAGTAATAAGGTATGATAGTTAGAAAATAGTGGGTAGGAAGCACCAACACGCTAAAAAATGGCGAAGTGTCGATGTCAGACATGTGTCGAAGACCGACATGCTCGGACACGCGTCTATTTTTTCTAATCAGATTTGCTTGAGACACGCCGGACACCATGGAACACAGCAGGCAGGGACAGGGGAAGGGGGGAGGGACACACAGGTCATTAAGAGAATTTTTTTTTAAAAACCCAGCCCAAACCACTAGGGTTTTCTTTTTAGTTTTTTCTTCCGTTTCTAATTTCTTCTCCTTCTCCTTCTCATAAGTTCCTCCTCCGTGGCATTTTTTCCACTCTTTCTCCTTTACGGAAGTTTCTCTCCTCCATTTCTTCTCCCAGATTCTATTTTCATTTTCAATTTCTTCTCTTTCTCTTTTCCAGAAGTTTCTCTCCCATTTCTTCTTCTCTCCTCCGTTTCATCTTCCTCACTTGCATTTTCTCACACTCCTTCATTTGTTCTCCTTCATAACAATCTTAAATATTAATAATATATCAAAATACGCACATATTTTTTTCATAAAAAAAAATTAATGTATCCCAGCGTGTCGTGTCCTACTTTTCTAGAAATTAACATGTAGTCGTTCCGTGTCATGTCGTATCTGTGTTGCGTGTCCATGCTTGTCCTTCCTAGAATATGGGATCATCGTCACATGTGTATTGTGTTTATATGTGTATTGTGGAGAGAACAGACCTCTCAAAAGTCTGCAAACTATGTACATCTCTTTTCTATACGTAAATAACGGGAACTTTACTATTCTTGCCTCTATTGCTAATTTCGAACTATCTTAGGTTGGCTAAGTGGTCAATCAGGGCCAATGTAAATAGCAAAGGGCTTAGAGATAATAGGTTTCAACCACAGTGGTCACCTATCTAAAATTGAATATCCTAAGAGTTCCCTTGGCAACCAAATATATTAGGATCAAGCAGTTGTGCAGTGAGATTAGTCGAAGTGTGCGCAAGCTGACCCAAGTACTCATAGATATCTAGAAAAATGTATATTATAACAATAATAATAAATCTATAGCTAAATCTGGAAATGCCAAAAGCGAGAAAATGGAAAGATGAATTATTTCTCAGTGGAAGAGAGAGATTGCATTAGGGTAATCACCGGTCGATCGAAGTCCGGTTTTTAGCCAAAACCGACCCATTGGTTCTCGAAATGAAAACCGAATTTTTTTAAACATTGCTTAAGCCGATCGACTGACTGGTTGGTTCGGTTGGTTGGTTTTTCGATTTTAACCGATTTTTTTTTTCTTTCGATTGTGGTCGCGAGAGGGAGAGAGAGAGAAGTTGGGACGACAGTTGTTGGTGCGGGTGGGTAGTGGCTTGCGGTGGCGAGAGAAAGAGAAACTGGTTCACTAGGTTGCTAGTGCTGGTGGTTTGATCCAGCGATTAGCGAGAGAAAGAAACTGGGTCCCTGGGTTTATTAGTGTCGGTGGCTTGCATTAGTGATAGGCAAGGGAGAAGCTGGTAGGGGTGGAGGGGTGGTTGTGGTGCAATGAAGGAGAAATGGGTGGTGGAGTGATTGCGGTGCAATGAAGAAATGAAGAAATAGAATGATTATAAATTGAAAGGAAAAGAAACCACACCATGTTTGTGCTTCCTAGAATATGGGATCACGGTCATATGTGTATTGTGGAGAGAACTGACCTCTCAAAATTGTGGAGAGAACTGACCTCTCAAAAGTTTGTCAACTATGTACCTCTCTTTTCTATACGTATAAAGGGAAATTTAATATTCTTGCCTATTAATCTATAGCTAATTTTGAACTATTATATGTTGGCCCAGTGGTTAATTAAGGCCATTGTAAATAGTAAAGGGCTTAGAGGTAATGGGTTTGAATCATAGTGACCACCTATCTATGATTTAATATCCTAAGAGTTCCCTTGGCAACCAAATGTAGTATGGTCAAGCGGTTGTGCCATGAGATTAGTCGAGGTGTGCACAAGCTAACCGAAATACTTATAGATATCCAAAAATAAATAAAATCTATAACTAAATCTACAAATGCCAAAAGCGAGAAAATGGAAAAATGAATTAATTCTTAGTGGAAGAGAGAGATTGTACAGGGATAATAATCGATGAGGATATTTACCAACAACTAGCAATTATTGGAAGGTGCTTCGCCAATACAAGAAATATGAGACCAGTATTGGAAGGTGCTTCGCCAATACAAGAAATATGAGGCCAGGGTGAGGATATGACCAAATGCTTTAAATTGAATTATCGAGATCGCACAGAGTTGAAGAACAATTTTTTTTTTTTTAACCAGAGACAAACTTTTTATTGATGAATAAAAAGGAACAAAAACTGTTTAAAGAGACAAATTCCCAAAGGAGTGAGGTAAAAAGATAAAAGATGAAAACAAGAATTGAAACTAAAGGCTAGGGGAATAATTAAAGAATAAATTTGAGAAAGAACACCAATGAAAAGCTTTGAACTTAGCTAAGCTGAAACAGCGAAGGACTTGCTTTTGCCCTAAAAAATCCTTTAATTTCTTTTGAACCACAATTCTGATAGTAAAGCTTTAATACCGTTGACCGAAAAGAGCCAAACTTTAGGACTTAGCTGCATACCAGAAAGAAGCTGAAGGATGTTGCTTGGAACTAATAATTCAAGAGTTGTTTCGGATCATTTACCCATTATTCAAGGCAGTTTCTTATGGGGCCTTCTCCTTTTCGTTTCATGGTTACTTGACAGCTTGCAAACAGATCATTAAAAAATCATTGCAGAGGATTCTCTTCATCAGGTAGGGCAGGTTCCATTATTTCATCGAAGCTCCGCAACGTGAAAGTCAAGCTTAAAGAATGGATTGGGACTTGGCAGAAAGGAACAGGAGAAGAAACAGAGAGTTTCCATAGTGAAAGACATTATGTGGATCAACACAAAAGAGGAGAATAGCAATATTTCTCGGGAAGAAATTAATCTTTGTTTGGCTCTAAAATGTGATCTTGCAAACTTGCATATTTGAGAAGAAATGAACTTGATCCAAAGGTACAAGCTTCATTGGTTGAAAAAAGCTAATGCAAACAAAGTTTTTTCCACAGATTTTTTACAGCAAGAAAAAGGAAACTTTCACTAAAATTTAGGGTGGGCAGAGCTAGAAGCTGTAGGGTCGGCTGGTGGAATTCTTGTCATGTGGAACCGAAATTCGGTGCAAGTGTAGGATTCCATGATAGATTCGTTCTCGGTCTCTATTTATGCTAACGTCAAAGATAGTTTCTTTGGCTAGATTACAGGAGTCTACGGGCCTTCTAGCTATAAAGAAAGAGATGACCTTAGGCAGGAGCTGCAAGATCTCAATGGCCTGTGTGCTGATAACTGGCGTTTAGCAGAGGATTTTAATGTGGTGGGAAGATTAACAGAGAAGTTAAATGGGGGAAGAGTCACTAGAAGTATGAAGAAATTCAACTTGTTGATCAACGAGTTGAGTTTGGTTGACGTTCCCATGAAGAATGGTTTTTTTACGTGGTCCGACGGTTGGGAGAGACCAGTAGCAACTTGCGTAGACAAATTCTTCCTCTCTCATAATTGGGGGGAGGCTTTCAAAGAGGTGGAGTTAATTAGGCTCCCAAGAACGACATTGGACCATTTTCCCCTATTTTTAAAGCTAAAGAAATGGGGACCTTCCCCTTTTCATTTTGAGAACATTGGTTAGACCACCCCACTCTCAAGGAAAACGTAGAATCATGGTGGACATCCCTCCCTTCTGAAGGTTGGTTGAGATATGCTTTTATGGGGAAATCGAAAGCTCTTAAAGTTCTGTTTGAGAAGTGGAACAAAGAGACCTTTGGGGTGGTGGAAGATGCTTTAAAGAATCGTGAAAATAGAATCAAAGCTCTTGATAAATTAGAATGGCTTGATTTATGAAGCTGAGAGGAAAGACAGGGAGGAACATAAAAAGACCTACTTGAGCCTAATTATCAGTGAACAAAGAAAGTGGGCTAAAAAATGCAAGCTGCTGTGATTGAAAGAGGGAATGAGAATTCCAGCTTTTTCCATAGGTGGGCGTCGGCAATGAAGTCTAAATTTAGCATGTCAATGCTAGAAACAGACTCGGGGGATTTGCTTACCTTAGAAAAGGAGATTGAGCAGGAGCTAGTAAGGTTCTACGAACGTTTATA